TCACTTGTTACAGAGACTGATTCAATATCACTATTGATAGACAAATTATCAAGATTTCTGCGGTCTTTATTAACTGAACGTGTGTCAGAATGAAATTTGTATTTGTGTGACGCCAAGCTTCGTGAAGTTTTAAAAGACTTGTAACAATGGTTACATTTGTGGGAGTACACCATCTTTGACATAACGTTACTAGTCAAACGTGAAGTGACTTAAACTGTATAGAGTCCCCCCTTATATAGGACCTTTTTTTTTGTTTTGTTTTACGCGATGTCACAAAAGTTAATAAGCTCTAAAAAACAATGAAGCGTATCGTAGCGCGTTAATTAGGAAATGATCCTGTTTATGAGTTCCTTATATAGCCGATTTATTGGGGGTTGAGAAATTTACTGTTTTACTGATCTTAACACATTATTTAAAATAATGTTCACTCATATTAACACGATTGATTAATTTGCTGCTCTCCTATACTGCATGCTGTGTACTATGTCATACTGTTGACACACAATAATAATAATTCATTCGGTCAGATGTGTCAAATTGATCGATAAGATATTTCAAGTGCAACTCATCAAAACTGGCTGATTCTTTTGTCACATCAACAGGTGTTGTGACTTTGAGTATCCATACAGATGCAATCATGGGTCAGTATTCAACTTAATCCTGATCCAGAAAATCGAGCTTTAGGTTAAATAATTGCACCTTGTATACTTTCCTCGGAGTCTCAGTACTAGATCCAGGTTTAGGTATTAACTTCTCTCTTAGTTCACGGTCTGACAACTTAGAAATATCCCCAGAGTTCAACATCAGTCCTTATTAGAAAGCTAAAAGGTTATAAGAAAAAACTTTCTGTGTGTCACAAGTTAACACTTACATGATACTCCCGTATTACAAAAAATGACTTTTTCATTAGAAAGTATATAAAGGTTGTGATTAGATGTGCAAAATGCTCCCCCAGCACTTGCTCCTTTATATAATATGAACAGGTGTGCTTAAAAGCTTCTGACAATAACTATTGTATATACTTTCTCATGCAACATACGCAGTGTTCAAGTTAAAGTGTACACTATATAATTGTTATCTAGGGTTAGCCTCAGTGTAATAGTATGATCTCCCCACATTAGCAAAATGTTAATGAGGAGTAAACACTCCCAATTAGGGTTAGTGTATACAATTAGCAATTAAGATTAGCAAAAATTACCACAAATTAGGGTTAAATTACGTAATTACACACAAATACAGGTGCGCCATTTTTAGGTGGGGTATAAGTACCATTATGTATACTACTGACCCAGGTGGTTACCATGGTTACCCAGACTAGAATTCTTCCTCTAGTGACGATGACGTATAAAGTGCTCTATAAGTCTATATTATCTATCCTTCTTTTCTTTTCAGAATACATTGGAGACCAAAATTATAAATGCCACATTATAAAAATCATTTGAAAATAAGATTTAAAATCAATAATTATTGGAACTATTTGAATAGTAACACTGCTAGTTACCATGGTAACACTGCTAGTTACCATGGTAACTCTGCTAGTTACCATGGTAACACTGCTAGTTACCATAGTAACACTGCTAGTTACCATAGTAACACTGCTAGTTACCATAGTAACACTGCTAGTTACCATGGTAACACTACTAGTTACCATAGTAACACTGCTAGTTACCATAGTAACTTCTAAATCAGTGCTAGTTACCATAGTTACACTGCTAGTTACCATAGTAACACTGCTAGTTACCATAGTAACACTGCTAGTTACCATAGTAACTTCTAAATCAGTGCTAGTTACCATAGTTACACTGCTAGTTACCATAGTAACACTGCTAGTTACCATAGTAACACTGCTAGTTACCATAGTAACACTGCTAGTTACCATGTTAACACTGCTAGCTACCATGGTAACACTACTAGTTACCATGGTAACACTGCTAGTTACCATAGTAACACTGCTAGTTACCATGGTAACACTGCTAGTTACCATAGTAACACTGCTAGTTACCATAGTAACACTGCTAGTTACCATAGTAACACTGCTAGTTACCATGTTAACACTGCTAGCTACCATGGTAACACTGCTAGTTACCATGGTGACACTGCTAGTTACCATAGTAACACTGCTAGTTACCATGGTAACACTGCTAGTTACCATGGTAACACTGCTAGTTACCATGGTAACACTGCTAGTTACCATGGTAACACTGCTAGTTACCATAGTAACACTGCTAGTTACCATAGTAACACTGCTAGTTACCATGGTAACACTGCTAGTTACCATAGTAACACTGCTAGTTACCATGGTAACACTGCTAGTTACCATGGTAACACTGCTAGTTTTTGTGAGGGTAATCTCACCAGGAACTGATTGTTGGTCTAAATATTGATGGTGGGTAAGAGCGCTTAATGTCTCGGCTTAAACTTAAAATAATCTACAAAGATTTGTGAATAATTTACTGTCGTGTCCTTGGTAATTTTATGATAGAAGTTGAATATATTCTCTCATTTTCAGATGAATCATATTTTCTTACACTCAGTAACAGTTCGTTGAGTCAAAGCAAAAACTGCATCTCACGGTTCAACGGAAATACTTCATCACAATCATGCGCGAAGGACACACTGTATCTTACTACTCAATGGGGATACTATATCCCATTGCTCGAAAGCCAAACTGTATCTCACGGCTCAACAGAGATACTACATATAATAACCTACTCAATGTTATTTCCTTTATTTATACTGAATTTGACCAAAACCCATAATCATGGGTAGAGTGGACCGCTGCCAGTGTCTCTCTTTCCCAAACAAAAGGAAATGATATTAATTTGATTGACCGTTCTCAAATGCAAAATGATACCGAGAATGAAATCGGTCGCTCGCTTTTCCCATTCATTCACGGCTTACGAATTGTAATAAGTTTCGATTGATTAGGTACATCAATCAGATGCTGTAAAAATCTCTTTGGGTTGCGTTCGGGTCGATACCTAGTATTTCGGGGTAAGGGTGGTAGTTATTACTTATTGAATTAGCTGAAGTTTATTGAATCTTTATTGCCGAGTACAGCTGCCTTTGGGTAGTTTTTTTTAATCTATTACAATTGTAAATGAATGGGAAAAGCGAGCGACCGATTTCATTCTCGGTATCATTTTGCATTTGAGAACGGTGAATCAAATTAATATCATTTCCTTTTGTTTGGGAAAGAGAGACACTGGCAGCGGTCCACTCTACCCATGATTATGGGTTTTGGTCAAATATCATCTCTTTTTGATTATAATGACAGGGTACTTTATAAAGTCGAAATATAAACTGATATCTTCATTAATAAGGAGGAAGTTTCAACAATTTCGAAATTTTTCCTTTAAAAACATTTCCTTGTGTTTAGGTAAGCATATCGGTCGATCACTGACTGAATATGCCACTTAATACTCATTCAAGTTGGCATTAAATTCATTTATATTGACATTAAACTGTCGTGGCAAAGCAGAATTTGTTGGAAATCACGAATGAGCAAAATGTTCATCTTTCGCACGTGCAAACTTTGAGCGGACGTTGCGTGCGCATCCAATATTGAATCGCCGTAAATTTTTGCATGTAATTGTTTTATATATAATTTGATAAGCATGCAAAGTTTCAAAGTATTTCAAGAAGAACTGTAATCACAACGGCACTCTAAAGTTGACAGAAAATGACGAAAACAGCAATTTTCAGTTATTTTAGCAATTTTCTATCAATTTGGGCGTGTCCCCACGTGTGCAACTTTTCGATTTTTAACTTTAAAACTAGCCTAATGCACAATTTATACTTATAGGAAGCACAACTGAGCTCCACAACCCAAGACATGGCCCAACACCAGAGAATACTAAATCGCAAAATTGACGTTTTTATAAAATAATTCTTCAAAAAAGCACAAACTTCAATGACGAATATCTTTATGAAGGAGCAAGCTAGAAAAACTTTCCGGTAGATTTTCAGAATGCTTGAACAATTATCTAAGGTAAAATTTCCTCAGATTTTGAATAAAATTACTTTTTAATGGTGTAAAATTATTTTTAAAAGTTATTACTTTGTCAAAAATCTAGTTTTAAAAACGGTTAACTTGATGACGTCATCAAGGGGTGTTCATGACGTCAAATAATTTACCTGAGGACCCCAGGCTTTAATGTTGGTAAACACGAATAGAGATTAGGCGGAATGACAGGCTGAGCGCGGCCCAGTAACAAATAATTTGTTTATACAATGTAAACTAAAGTGTAAACAATTATTTTCAAGACCTGTGGTCGGAAATGGCTGTATCTTTTATACTTTTGAATCTATGAACAATTAAATACAGGCTACAATTGACTGGCAAAGCGTCTATCCCTGAATATGTATATATGTATCACGACAATCTATCGTAAAACAGGGGTTCTAGAAAACCCACTTTCCGATGCTCCTGAAACCTGAATTTTTTTTTGCAGTCGATTTGGTCAACGTCTAGACGCCCTGAAAAATTTCAGATCTCTAACTCAATTTTAACATGGTTTTTAAGGCACCTGAATATGGCGATTTTGGGTTTTTTACCGAATTTCGTATAACAGTGCTGGCGAGTATTTTATGCAAATTTCTTAAAAATCTCAACATAACTATTTTTTATTCCTGTCATCTTTGACATCAAATTGGAATGTTTTGAACTAAAAATAAATCTGCTGAACGACTTCCGATGAGTCTTAATGCCTGAAAAACTCCTGCCGGAGGCGGCGGCCTTCGGCCGCCGCCTCCCGCCGGAGTGCACGCTTCGCGTGCACGAAAGAGGCTTGTAACGTGTACCAAAGGGGGTATAATAGTAAAGGGGGTTTAATAGTAAAGGGGGTATAATAGTAAATGGGGTATAATAGTAAATGGGGTACATAGTATACCCACAATAAATGCAACGGTCGTGCTTGCCAGCACTGTGATATGTGTTTCGATAATTAGTGGATGAATTTATTTGGTAAGGACTGAGGAGTATAAGTAAGATACCTATATCAATGCAAAATATAATATTGTTATACAATTTAAATCTTTTATCACCCAAAAAATTAAAATAATTATTTCAGTCAGTTGCTGATCTGTACTGATTAACCCTTAAAGAGAACAGTTTAAAAACGTTGAAAGTCCTATATAAAACTGATGCTAAATATAAGGTCAAATAAAAGTACGAGTAAAAGAGTCCATTTTAAAATTATCTCCACAAATCATTTCGTTAGGTAGACTGTTCATCTTTCTGGTTAGACTTGGTTGAGCTTGCAGAACATGAACATTGCGAGATCGTAGTAGTGGGATTCATCTTGTGGTAGCTTGAGCACGTTCTTCCAGTATTCCCAATGTTCAGCACTATCTATGTGATATCCCATCACATTTGACTTGTCCACCAGCTTTTCTGCTACATCCTTCAACAGCTGAAGATTATTAGTCTTGAGTTTGTGGACAAAATTTTCAAACAATTAACTTAGTTGATTTCAATTACGTTTTTAGAGTTAGCCTGTCGTAAGCATATTTTCAAGTCATTGCATTTTCTATTGCATGCACTCACATAATCGACTATTCGAGTATCATATAAACTTAGGCTCTACGTAACAACGCTAATGCCTAATCTTTCTCATAAACTGAAAGAACATCTATTTGATTGAAGTCCTCTCCAAAATTCGAGTATAAAGAAGTTTTTACCTCAACATCCGATAGATCAAAATTAATGCCGTCAAATCTCACAGATCTGTGCCACGCTACTGGTGCATTGTCTCTAGCTGCGGAGTACGATGCGTCGTACGAGGCTTCGTAGCCCCCGGCGTCGTAACTTGCGTCGTAACTTGCGTCGTAACCACCACGCTTCTTTCTTGTGTGTGTATCTGGTGAAGTTAATTCCGTTATTGGTTTTATCTTTTTATAATTGGGCGATTCCGCGTGAAAGTATATTTGACGGATGATACAAGGAGGTGTTCTCAGAATTGTAAACTTTGTCCCCCAAATCGGATCAAAACTAGCAAAATTGTTAGGTGCGTGCGTAAATTCACCTCGATAAGTTATACTGTTCGAAGAAGACTCTCCTTCTCCGAAGAAGGCCTTGTTTTGTAAACAGAGACTGTCCGGAGAAGGCCTAGTTCACACAGAGGTCAGACACATGTCAAATGGTAAACGAATTTATCGGGAAATATTTGTTTTGATAAATTGATAAGTGCTTCCTTGAAACCAGATATATATATGTATTTTTTTTAATTTTTATGTATATATATTATAGTGGACGCTCTAGAATTTAAACCTGAAATAAGTAAAGGCAAAGCAGATAGGGAAAAGGCCATGGAAGCTAGAGAGGGGTTCTACCAGACCCAATTGAAAACCCTTGAGCGTTATGGGGGTATGAACACCCTCGATAGTAACCACATCCTTTTTAAATCCGCTGGAGCTTAGTGTTTAGTTTATTTATTTTATTTAACATGATCTTAGCCTATAAACCCGTGTTTAGTTTACAATATTTCTATCAGAGACTATATATTCATCACTATTTTAATATTTTTACTGCTTGATTCAGAGAAATCCAGCTTTTTCCGAGAAACTAATCTTAAATAGATTAGATAAAATGTACTCAGCCATTCTTTTTCTTTGATTATTACTCAGTATTTTTTAGTTTTGTACCGTTTTGAGTCACATAGTTTTGTACGTCTTCCTAAGACTTGTTTTCCTTTCCTATAATTTATAGTTTGTAAGTTATTTTAAAGATTTGTGTATATAGTCCGAGACGAAACGGAATCTCGTTAGCTTTTCGTGTTAAAAGCGATTTCTCGACGGTTATCACCTCTCTAGATGATTCTTAAAACATTTGGACTTCATGGCAAGGTTGAAATACATGCAATGAGGGCGTTTTCGGCCACACCCTTTTTCAGGGTTTCGCGGTCACTCGAATTATTGTATTTCAGCCCAGGAAGGTCTTAAAGACTATTCCGATACACCAAAATGTGCCTAATAGCCACATTTATATACAACTTATGAAGCAACATATACCTTAAAATGCTTTGTTTCGGAAATATGGCCGAAAAACGGTTTTTGGCTTGACGCAGTTCATAATTTCCGTGATTTTTGGCATTTCCGCCTAGGAAGGTCGTAGAGACTATTCTGATACACCAAAATGTGCCTAATAGCCACATTTATATACAACTTATGAAGCAACATATACCCTAAAAGGCTTATTTTCGGAAATGTGGCTGAAAAACGGATTTTTGTCGAGCAAACAATGACAATATTCACATATGGGCTATTGGACTGTTAACTAGAAAGGTCTTAAAGACTCATGAGCAACACAGCATTTGTCACAAGATGTAAGATTACTCACTTTGTGTCCAGAAACACCTACAAAAATTGGAGAATGATCTACTTTATTGGGCATCTCTTTTAATGGGCCAGGCCAGCAGCATATTTGTGTCTTACGAAATGGCAATTTTTCAAAATTACGGTTTCTTTAGTAAAGGTCAATGGGTCAGTTGCAAACAGCAAATTGTTCGCAATTGCCGACTTATGCACATCATATACTCAAAAACGCTCACTTTAGGAGTCATTAGTAAATAACTAATACATGATTTGTGAAAACTCCAACAATTTTTCCTTGGTACCAATTTAAATAAAATGTGTGACGTGCCAGACCAAAATTCAACTTCAAACTTTTTATTTATTCATGCCATGAAACCATGATATATGTTCCATGAATACCGGACCTAAAATAAATCGGCACTGGATCCGGGCCAGATTGAAGCTTGACCACTGACCAGTATAAGTACCCCACTTTATAATCATAATTGACTTCACTGCCTCGACCAATATTGGTCTGTAATCCCTGGATTGAGATCTGTTGGCTGCAGTTTAATTTAGCTCATTTACCATAATAGTAATTTGAGGACACGTTACTTCGTAACAATATGTATCCTACTATATCACTTGCTACCCACTTCCGTCCTAACTGTAAAAACTCATGTATTGACAATATCCTCACATCAGAGATAGATCATGTACTTCTCTCCGGTGTATTGAATGATAGGATTGGTGACCATGCCTTTATATTCACCTTCACGTCAATTCCTACCGAAAACAGTACTGAAAAACTTAAACATGTTCGCTACTATGATTATTCAAGTTCCAAACTCACTAATTTTGTTAATGAACTCGAGGTGAAGGTGAATGACTTGACTCCCTCGGTAAACTTCAATGAGTTCTTGGACTGCTTCAATGAAACACTTGATAAACACTGTAAGCTTGATGTACCAAAAGTTACCAAAAGGACTCCCAAACTCAACCCGTGGATTACCGATGGAATCATTGTCTCAGTTGAAAGAAAACATGAACTCTGTAGAGACTGGTCAAGCACTGTAACAAATAGAAACCCTGAGGGTAATGTACTGCTCTATAAAGTCTTCAGTGACTACCGAAGAATGCTTAAAAGTATTATCAAGGTCGCCAAACGATCGTACTACTGCAATGAAATCCATAAAAATATAGAAAACAGCAAAAAAACGTGGCAGATAATCAATGAGCTCAGGGGCAAGAAAAAGAAGCAAACTAAGCCTCCCTTTATCATAAACAACGAACGAATCATGAATCGTAGAGTCATAGCCAATGGATTCAACTCTTACTTTGTTTCTATTGCCCCTAAGCTCAATGAAACACTTAGTAGCAGTGAGGCCTCTGGTTTACCAATTCTCCCTATAAAAACATTCTATGATTTCCTTGGAAAGACTAATGAAAAATCGATTATGTTAGAAGACTGTACACCTTATGAGATAACGGAAATAATAAAAGGATTTGAAAATGGAAAAGCAAGTGATATTCCTGTTAGTGTAATCAAAAGATCATCTCACGTAATTACACCGATCCTTAGTCGATACATCAACATCTTAATGTCTAATGGCACGTTCCCCGACGTTCTAAAGACTGGTAGAATAACTCCTGTATTTAAGAAGGGAAACCCTGAAGAGATAGAAAACTACCGCCCAATCTCTACTCTCTCTATATTTGGTAAAATCTTTGAAAAGATCATTTACTCAAGAATATATTCGTTTGCTAGCTCACAGGGTATAATATCTAAAACACAATTTGGCTTCAGGCAGTCACACTCTACTTCACATGCAGTTAATCACTCAGTAAACCTTATAACTGAATCTCTAAAACTTAAGCATCATGTCTTAGGCATATTCATAGACCTTAGCAAAGCTTTTGATACAATAGATCATGGTACATTACTTGTCAAATTACAGGGCTATGGGATACGTGGGGTGGCAAATGATCTTATAAAAAGTTACTTAACAAATAGATCACAATATACTGAAGTTGTTGGTGAGAAATCTGACGCCTTGAAAATACAGTTTGGAGTCCCTCAGGGTTCGATTCTTGGACCTCTCTTATTTCTCCTATATATTAATGATATCGCCAACAGCTCCAGTTTGGGATCATTTGTCACCTTCGCTGATGACACCAATATATTTGTGACTGGGAAATCTAAAAAGGAGGCATATATGCGTGGTAATTCTCTTTTAGCTAGTTTATATTCCTACATGCGAGCAAACAAACTCCATGTCAACTTGTCTAAATGCTGTTTCATTCACTTTAAACCAGCATCGTCCTCCCAGACTGACAATAATTCTGAATATACTCTAACCATTGATAACTTTCCAATAAAACAAGTTGCATCTGCTAAGTTTCTGGGAGTCGTCATCGATGAAAAGCTAACCTGGGAAGAACATATAAAATCACTTAGGCGTTCTCTCAGCCATGCAACATCAACTCTCTGCCGCCTACGCTGCTCCCTCCCAGATTTCTTACACCGCCAGTTGTATTACACTCTATTTGAATCACACCTCTCCTATTGTATCACGGTTTGGGGTGGGGCAGCCAAAACTCGTATAAGTTCTGTATTCAAAGCACAAAAATATTGTCTCAGGGTACTGTTTGGCGACAGGGAGGCATACCTAGATAAATTTAAGACCTGTGCTCGTGCTCGACCGTTTGGCAACCAAAATCTGAACAAAAAATTTTTCTTGAAAGAGCACACGAAACCTTTGTTCAAGGAACACGGAATACTTGCCGTCCAAAACCTGTACACTTACCATTGTTTCCTTGAGCTCTATAAAATCATGAAATTCCATGCTCCGATTTCCCTCCATGAAAATTTCACCTGCTCAAGTAGGAAACCCACCCTTATACTAAGCCAAGCAGACCCCCCTGACAACTTCAATAGCAGAACGACTCGTATTTGGAACGTAATTGTGCCTAAGCTTGGTATACGTGACTACTGTCTAAGTGTGGCCTGCCTGAAGTCTAGGATGAAGCAATCACTGCTCGTCAACCAGCATAACCATGCTGATCTTGATTGGACAAACAAAGATTTCGAATGCTCTAATCTAAATTTTGACATTAAGTCTACCCTAGGGTCCACACATCCAAAATGATTATCTTGAAATTGAAAATTAGCTGGGTGTGCATTTTCCTTTGTCTTACTAACGTGTGTGAGCGCAGTGTAGTGAGAAAGTGTTTTTAACAGATTTATTATTAGACTTAGGATTATGATTTTTAATATATTACATTGATATAAGATTTATTTTTGATAGGTACTTAATAAAGTTGATGAATTTCCCTCCCTATTAAAATTTTAAACCCATTTAGTGAAAATTGATAAACGAAGATCTAGATATTGATACATATTATTACCAACATTGCTTATATTCTGCCTTGTAAACAAAGAGCAAATCTTCTTAATGCCTTCTTCCTGTCCTAAAACTAAAACTTCATCCTATTAAAGTAAAGGCCAGTTGTTACCACAAGCTATTATACCGTCCCTCTCAAAAACATGCCTCAGCCTCCATCAAAAACAATTTTAGTTTTCAGTCCTTCTAGTTTCCAAAAATCTACCGAGCTAGTGTTCTGGTGTGCACAAAAGCCCCTAAGCCCGTGCATTCCTTGCCCCGCTAGCTGCCAGTCCTTGACAAACTTCCAATAGCAAAGATCAACTAGTCATTTACAAATTGAGCACTATACAATTTTAATTGTTTTAAATATTTGACTTTGTAAAATGAGCTAAAACATTGATTTATTAGTTTCATTGATTTATTAGTTTCATTGAGTAATACCGCAGTGGTTTGGTTCGAATAGATTTTCCCATCGTATGATAATGTGTGTCATTCCCTCGTTTTTTAATCAAGTGGTTACTGGCTAGCTCTTTTTTATTACAGCTGCCTCGAGATCTTATCTAGGGCACTAATACATTAGTACAAGAACATTAGAACTGTAATTCTAGAACTTCAGATTAAGATTACTTGGCCGAATGGCAGGGTTCGAGATTCGACTCTAAAACGCTCAGTTTAGGAGTGATTAGTAGATAACTACTGCATGATATGCGAAAACTCCAACTAGACAAGGATCATGCTTAATCAAAGTGTTCCTCGAATTGAACTTAAGTCTTGTAACCTACTGGAGTTTGGGCCACTGAATTGATCTAGGTAAACTATAGGTAAAAATATAATATTAATCATAAGCTAAAATGTACTAATCTTTGTATTCTAAATGGGGAAAAGAAGAAACATTGTCAGTCAGTCGAGAAAATTGTCAGTCAGGCTATATATATATATATATGAATACGAACTGATATTAATTTTAGAATGTCGGGAAATTCATTAAGATTTTTATTCTTTGGTTTTTTAATTGTGCTACGAATCCGAGTTTGAGTTGATAACCCCGAATTTCCTGTTTGACTCTCAAAGAAAGGAACCAAGGCTTACGTTATTCTTTTTGGCTCTGAGATCCAACTTTAAGATCGGACTTCGGAGATCCTCGCGTCGGAGATCATGTAAGTGTAACATCAGTACATGACATCAGACTTTTTTGCTTGATATTGGACCTATAAATCTAATTATATATTCGAAACAGCACGAGATGTAACCAAGGTTAATTTAGATAAGATATACCAGCTTTAGGGGTTACAAGACCCCACGAAAGGCAGGCAGAGCATCCTAAATCCTCATGCTATCCTCACGTTGACCATCTAGGTCCAAACTCCAGCCTCTCATTAAAAAACAGCTATTAGGCCCGAGATCCGTCCCTTGTCCCGTAGTGTCCCGTAAGTAAGAGATCGTTCAGATTTTTGTCATTTAGACCCCCTCCCCGCTCTAAAATCCACTTTACCCAAAGCTGGAAAAATGTCACATGTGAAACCTAAATAGCTAAATCAGCATCTCGAGACCTTCTATTATAAAAACCCCGTGATCCTACTATAAGATTATAACTTATAAGGCATAAAGGCATTGCATGCCGAAATTACGATTCACTTCAACTGGTGATGTGAGCCTGGTATGTTACCTGAATGCCCTCAGTCAAATCTCGAACCCTGCTAATGCTATTCTGCCAAGTAACCTTAATCTGAAGTTCTAGAATTACAGTTCTAATCTTCTAATGTTCTAGTATTTGTGCCCATGCCCCAGATAAGATCTCGAGGCAGCTCACAGCTGTAATAACAGAAGAAATAGCCAGTCACCACTTGATTATAAAACGAGGGAATGACATTGACAGTTGACACACATTATCAAACGATGGGAAAATCTATGCGACTGAAAAAAAGAATATGGGGTCATTCTGAAGTGGGAACCAGACCACTGCGGTATTATAAGAAATTAGCTAAATTAAATTGCGGCCAACAAATCTCAATCCAGGGATTACAGACCAACATTGGTCGAAGCAGCGAAATCAATCATAATTAAAAAGTGGGGTACTGGTCAGCGGTCAAGCAGCAATCTGATCCGGATCCAGTGCCGATTTATTTTAGGTCTGGTATTCTTGGTACATATATTAAAGTCACTATTGTGACGGTACATTAGAACTAGACAGAAACAAAGTGTGAAGGGCCTGAACGGAACCCCTCGGTTTCAATTCCTTGTTTAACACTGCCGTACAGCAGGGACATTCTCCGGGTTCTCCAAGGATGGGCACATAACTCATTATGGTTTCATGGCATGAATAAATAAAAAGTTTGAAGTTGAATTTTGGTCTGGCACGTCACACATTTTATTTAAATTGGTACCAAGGAAAAATTGTTGGAGTTTTCACAAATCATGTATTAGTTATTTACTAATGACTCCTAAAGTGAGCGTTTTTGAGTATATGATGTGCATAAGTCGGCAATTGCGAACAATTTGCTGTTTGCAACTGACCCATTGACCTTTACTAAAGAAACCGTAATTTTGAAAAATTGCCATTTCGTAAGACACAAATATGCTGCTGGCCTGGCCCATTAAAAGAGATGCCCAATAAAGTAGATCATTCTCCAATTTTTGTAGGTGTTTCTGGACACAAAGTGAGTAATCTTACATCTTGTGACAAATGCTGTGTTGCTCATGAGTCTTTAAGACCTTTCTAGTTAACAGTCCAATAGCCCATTTGTGAATATTGTCATTGTTTGCTCGACAAAAATCCGTTTTTCAGCCACATTTCCGAAAATAAGCCTTTTAGGGTATATGTTGCTTCATAAGTTGTATATAAATGTGGCTATTAGGCACATTTTGGTGTATCAGAATAGTCTCTACGACCTTCCTAGGCGGAAATGCCAAAAATCACGGAAATTATGAACTGCGTCAAGCCAAAAACCGTTTTTCGGCCATATTTCCGAAACAAAGCATTTTAAGGTATATGTTGCTTCATAAGTTGTATATAAATGTGGCTATTAGGCACATTTTGGTGTATCGGAATAGTCTTTAAGACCTTCCTGGGCTGAAATACAATAATTCGAGTGACCGCGAAACCCTGAAAAAGGGTGTGGCCGAAAACGCCCTCATTGCATTTATTTCAACCTTGCCATGAAGTCCAAATGTTTTAAGAATCATCTAGAGAGGTGATAACCGTTGAGAAATCGCTTTTAACACGAAAAGCTAACGAGATAGCCTTTTAGAACGGTTGGGATCCGACTAATATTCCAGTTGCTTTTAGAACAATTTTATCTCAGATAACGATGTTTAATAAAATGATGCAAAGAACTATTTCGAAGATCTAATCAACACCGACTTTTAATGTGTAGGAGTACAGCAACGAAATATATATATATATATATCCACGCAGCCTAGCGGGCGGAAATTTATATCGCCCGCGCCCGCGCGGCGATATAATATATGTCCTCGAGGGCGCACAGCCCGAGGACGACATATCCCCGTATAGCCCGGAGGGCCCGTTGGGCCCGAGTGCTATACGGAATTCCGCCCGCGAGGCGAGTAGGATATGTATTATATCCACTGACATACAATGGACTAAAGTATACCGTACCAGTGTCAGCATCAACATTGCTGTCATTTAAAAATGGTAATGCGTAAGGTAGGTGTTTTAAATATTTTTCTTGATTCTTTACTTAGTTTTGTTGCTTACCTACGGTTGTGGAGTCGGTCGAATTCGCTGAAGTCAAATCTGAAACGAGTTCTGCGTTAGATTAAATAAATGATAAGATTAAGATTTCATTCAAATTAATTCGTGAGCGTATAATTTGTTTGCTGTGCGACTGGCTTAAAACTACAAGTAACACAAAAAATCCTGCCTGACGATCACCGATTTTTCGTGGTTATTCATATTGTTTTGACTCACATTGGTTTGTAAGACTATCCTTTCCAGAGGTTATACCAGGGTATCTTATTTTGAAAGCGATGAGGTTTAGATGGTTAAGGATCCCGTTATTCTCGATATCTGATAAATATGTACAGCATGAACAAGCATGAACAACAATATTCGGAATTTATTTATCAGTAAAAATTGATTACGAGGCGTGAACGGTAAAGTGTAAACCATCATTTTAATTGCAATGCACGATTTTCTTGTTCGGGGAGATGGTCTAAAACCTGTGACACAAGAACAGAGATCAGATTCAGGGTCCAACAGTCTCTCAATCATCTTGTACTCCCCCATAGCATTTTCCCAAGCCTCTGCCATGTGCAGTGCGTGAGCCACCTTTTCCAGGACGCTGTATTTCGGTATACCCCACCAGGTTCTATTCATGTTTCTCATCACCTAAAAAAAGGGTCATTTTAAATTTAAGTGCACTTCAAGGAGGGGTGTAGATTGAATGTAGGACGCATACTTTGATAAGGATTGCAATTCGCAACTTAATGAGATAACTTCACGATTTGTGAATTACGAAGCAAGAAAATTTTTCCAAGCCTGAAAAAGTCATTTGTCGAGGGAAAAACATCAAGATTTGCATCCGTCATTCCGTCCCATAGAAATATGAAAAGAATTACAAGGTTTTAGAACTACCATAATATTATTTTCCTTCTTGTACAAAGCCACTTACCAAGTCGAAACTCTTTAGAGCCTTAGTCTTAAAAGCGTCATCATATCCGATCAGGGGTGCGTTGGGGAGAACTCGTTCAGCACTCCTAACATCCAAGTTCACTGAAACAGGTTAAAGAATAAAGAAGTTGAGATCGCCAACATTTAAACATTTTCATAGCGTAGAAAATGCCGTAAATTGATTAAATTTTCCGACAATTTGAAACAATATTGACAATTTTAAACATTACTAGTGCTGCTTCTTTAAACTTTTAAACATAAAACAACCAACATGTCGAAGGTTTTTCAACATTTTGTCGTCGAACAGTGGTATAAAAAATGACTAAAATATAAAATTGACAAGTTCCTAATACAACAAGAATGATTTATTACCGGTTGGGATACCGTTCTCTTCAGTTGCGTTGGGTTTGAAATAATATCGGATATCCTCCACGGTGAGAGAATGGATGCTGTGTGTTACCATGGGAGCAAAGTTGGGACTTAACCCTGCTTCCGACATGATACGTGGGCACTGGTCCAGTGTTGGAGCTGAAATGTTGAAAAATTCTAAGTTTATGGAAGACAAATAACTGTTTTGACGGAATACGTAGCTATTATCTACTATGATTATTATACGATAATCCGTATGATGTAGTTGTACCGACATTAACATTTCAAAATGAATTACCTGCTGCGACAGCTCCAAGAAAGAAAACTACCAAAACAACCAACATTTCTGCAAAGTACCGCAATTAACAACTTTATTTTTGTATTTGTAAAAAAATTTTCCCTATTCTTGCCGAAGGCAAAAAGATCGTAGGGAATAAGTATTCGGGTTTGGATATATGACTATGAGGTGGCCCGTTAATTAATAACAGTGAACTTCCTCCTTCGCAAAGTTATTTTCCACAATTTTCTGGATTCATTTATTGTTGGTGCGCAGCGCTACATTGGTCAAATAAATCGTCAATTTTTACCATGCACGAATCCCACTCATTTATAAAAAACATAGTATGTAAATATGGTGCAATTTTTCCAGTCACACTTTTCACTCAAAAGAATTAATGGTACAACTACAAGTACATCGTAGGAAAAATTGATCGTGCGTGGTTTAACCGCGGCGAAATTTTTGTTAAATCATGGGCTTCGGTTCAATTCGCTTTGAAATGATGCTTTCCAGGTTTATCTCTATGCAGTAACACGACAATCGGTATTACAGCTGAATATATTCGTCAGGCCAAGCTATTCCTACTGATCATTTTTGCAATCTTACTATATATAAAACGATACGATGTGTATATTATATTTTAAACTTCACGAAATCCCCCCAGCAACGGGGACAAATCAACCAAATATGACCCTCTGGTGAGGCCAATTTCAGCTCGCAAATGGAGTTAAAACATTGCAATTTTTAGCAGGGTTGTAAAAAAGGATAGCAATAGAAGATAGCATTCTTAGAATTTTGATTTAGGCTTTAAACCTTATTGATATTTTTCGATACGGTAAATTAAAAATTATCGTTTAAGGAATCCGAATCTTATTATATCTTTACTTATAATCCAGAGAATTATCTTTGTACGTACACTGTACACTGTACACTGTACGACCGCCCACGTGCAAATTAGGTAAACAAATCCGATGACATTAAACGTTGGCATGGTACATACATAACATTTTAATGTCGCTCGTGCAGAATTAGCGCGTGCATTATTGAATTCTAAGACGCGCTATAGCTAAAACTCTGCTAAAACTCTTCCCGGCCCCGTGCACCGACCACCGTTTGACAATCTGTATTTTCGTTTCAACGCCATTTTGTAAGTGTAATCTTGACAAACGTTACGTGTGACATTTTATCAAACCTTCAATATTTCCATCTCCGAACTTCATAAACTTTCCTATCTATTACATCGATAGTATTAGTAATACATCGCAGTTTACTAGGTGACATCTTCAACTGTACTCACCTACAACTCTTCTTCCAAAACCGTATCGTTATTTTTTAATTTTGTTGTTCTTATATCAATTTTACCCTTTCAATCTTCCTTCTTGCTTTTCACATGGAAAATTTACCGGATGAATTAATGGACATAGACACCGACCAACATACCATTGACAATGAACGAGAACGGGAGAGAGTGCGTAGCCGTGATCGTCGTAACCAGGTAAGGAATTCTGCACAGCGAGATGCCCGACAAGAGTCTGAACGTTTAAGAATTCGTGAAATGCGTGACCGCGAGAATTCTGCCGAGAGAAATACTTGTATCACGTGGTGACCCCCACTGTCGCTTCACTATAGTGACGATACAGGGGGAGCCGCGCACTTCGTGCGCGGCGGGTCATACAACGTATGACAAAGAAATACAAGATTAGAGACTGAGCGGGAGAGGTTTCGTGTTGGACTCGACCACGGGACCCCTGAACAGACATCACAATTCACACCGACTGAATAATAACCTACTCCGTAATAATTCAAATAACGCTAATCGTAGATCACATTCAGCTGGTACAGGATTTACAAGTAGGTATAACTATAATTATAACCTCAGTCCACCACAACCATTTACAATATATCTGAGCGACAAAATATGTCCTCATTGTTCTGCACAATTATTCGAATCTGAACTTAAACTGAAGTCGGCCTGCTGTGGCAAGGGGGACACCCGCTTACCTGAAAGTTGCCAGCTAGATTCATTTCCATCACCTTTATTTGAATTGTTTGCAAGTCAACACCCTGGATCGTCCAACTTTTGGGAATACATAAGACGTTTTGATTCAGCCTTTTCCTTTGCGTCATTTGGAGCAGAATGAAGCACACCGCCTGGCCGTGGTCCTTACTGTTATAGAATTCATGGCCAAACTTACCATAGAACTGGCATTTTGCACAATGAACCCGGCACAACTCCCAGCTTTGCACAAATTTACATACTGGAAGGTAGCGGACAACTCCAAGCCCGGCTAAACAATAATTCTGACTGTAATGCTAATATAATGTCCCTGATACAAACAACTTTGACTAACCTTCCAAATCCTTACATACAGTATTACAAGAATGTCCATCAATATGAACAATAGGAAATACAATACGCTATAGATAATATTAATAGTACACAACCACGCTCAATTAGCATGATTTTAAACGATAATACAACACTCCAGACGATAAAATAACACTCCATCATATGAAGACGACGTAGCTGCAGTATTTTTTGGGGACTCTGATGGCATGCCCGGGAGACGAGAAATTTGTGTTTATCCGACTTCTTCTGATGCACTAAGTAAATTGCCAGGCCCTATTTATGCATTCCAGAGCCAGAACACTTTTTTATCTCAAAATGCAAACTTATCTTCAGATTACATGCATAATATTGATTTACCTAATTTGCCTTTAGAGAATTATCTTTGTACGTACACTGTACAATGTACGACCGCCCACGTGCAAATTAGGTAAAAAGCAAAAGGTTGCAAAGTAACCATGGTAACGAGGGTTGTTACTCGCACGAGCACGTGCAAAGATTGTTTAAACGGCATTTATTATCGGTTTTGTTGATATTACGTTATGTTTAGTGCGAGCAACATTTTAATTGGCTGTATCTTCGATTGTGTAGGATATTTTTTGACTCGATTAAAACTTATTAACAAAAATACTATTAGCTTCCTCCCTGGCCTGAGTGGGTTGAGAGGTTGTTATGATTGTTACTAACGTTGTTACCTATCTTAGCATGGAGCTTTAGCTGACTCTATCACAAAGGTGAGAGTACATCTATTTCATTGGTGACTGAAGTAAACTACGATCTACGCAGCAGAAGAGTAAAGAGTGGAGACGGCTATGGAAGAAGAGAACCGGGAGATCAAGAAGAATGCTGGCAATGTTCAGGAGCGGATCAAGGAGAATAAAGCGAAGTGGGAGGAGATGAACAAGGAACATGAGGCAAGACATAGAACAGTACGTTCAGGCATGTGAAGAGTGTGGTCTGAACAAACACGTCAACAGTGTCCAAGACGAGTATACCCGGAAGGGGTAAAGATTTCAGAGAACATAGATATGGGTCAAACTTGAATTTCCTGAAATTTTTATAAAACTTTATCGATTACAGAGGGTGTGGCACACCACTCCCTCTTTTTCTCTTTTGTCGTCATAAAGTGAAAACGTTAGGAACTCCAAAATTTCCAGACACATGTGGTTTGATAATTGAAGTGCTTTCCCAAAATTTCAAGTTGGGTGTTTATAACTAGACCGAGTTATGACCATTTTAAAATCTGGCGGATACATGATCTCGCACTTAATTTGTGATTTCTTCACTCAATCAAATTATCAAAATTTCCAAAAAACTTCTAAACAGTTTATTAAACAAATATTCAGAATAAAACAATTAATATTATTGTGTCTGTCCAAATTTTAAAATTGTCTATGAAGTAATGTAGTAAGATATCTTTGGATTTTAAAGTTATAAACTGCGTTGGCCTTCGTGTATAAGTGGTAGAGGAAAATTCTTTACTGAGTTCTGAAAAAATATAAATATTTATGTATATATATCTGTTGCAATTTTACTGACACTACGGTTTCAACTTTAAGACTTTCCGCAACAACCGTGAGAGATATACTTTTGAATATTTTTTTGCTGGGTCGAATGCTTTTATGGCCTTTACGTTAGTAAAAATAAATACAAAATTGGCCAAGTAATAAATAATTTAGGTCCCGAAAAATGGACCCCCAGGTGGTGTAAAAATCACAAATTAAGTAAATAACATTGTATAATGTCTTAATGTCTCTTGACACCACTTTAGACTTAGAAAAACATGGGTTCCTGCTATGAAAAAAAAATGGACAGGAAGAGACGGAAAAAAGAGGGACAGAGGGACAGAGGGACAGAGGGACAGAGGGACAGAGGGACAGAGGGACAGAGGGACAGAGGGACAGAGGGACAGAGGGACAGAGGGACAGAGGGACAGAGGGACAGAGGGACAGAGGGACAGAGGGACAGAGGGACAGAGGGACAGAGGGACAGAGGGACAGAGGGACAGAGGGACAGAGGGACAGAGGGACAGCGCGATAGAGGGACAGAGGGACAGAGGGACAGAGGGACAGAGGGACAGAGGGACAGAGGGACAGAGGGACAGAGGGACAGAGGGACAGCGGGACAGCGGGACAGCGCGATAGAGGGACAGAGGGACAGAGGGACAGAGGGACAGAGGGACAGAGGGACAGAGGGACAGAGGGACAGAGGGACAGAGGGACAGAGGGACAGAGGGACAGAGGGACAGAGGGACAGAGGGACAGAGGGACAGAGGGACAGAGGGACAGAGGGACAGAGGGACAGAGGGACAGAGGGACAGAGGGACAGAGGGACAGAGGGACAGAGGGACAGAGGGACAGAGGGACAGAGGGAATAATGGAAACAAGTTGAATTGCAACAAAATCTATACTGCTCTTACCACCGATTGATCGATGTATTTGAAGACAAAATTAATTCTATTCGTGACTAGGGACGCGTTACAAAAAAATTATCTTTTTGGTGTTGACTCTTTTCCCTAATTTCGTTAATTAACAAACTTAACCTTTAGCTGATAACAGCTGCAGACAAATTATTTCGCTCGATTGAAGTTAAATCTTAATTCAATGAATTCTCGTTAAGTTTTTATCAAATTTACCAAATTGATAAGTAAAATTAGAACACCAGTTTAATTGAATAATTTCTTACCACCGCGGTTCGACTTTACCTTTATTTCAATTCTTCTCGACAAGTACATATGACTGAATAACTATATATAGCATA